CTTCCGATCTATACTCATCGTAGTATGACATTTCTTTTTAATGTTTATTTAATCTAATCTTTTAAAGTGAAGTGTTACAGTCAATGTACCATATTCAAATGGTATAGCATGCTCAAATTCATCTCTTATATCGATTTCAATCGTTTGCAAGCAGTAAGTAACGGTATATATCTACCCGTTGAGAAACTTTTATATTTAATCGAACCATAAACATATGATTCTATATCTAGAGCCACGGTACGTAACAATGGTGTTTGTACGTCACCTGTGATATAAGATTCACATATATCTGTATATACAAACATTGTGGTAGGTAACGCTCTGATTAAACTAGCCGGTCTAGACGATATCCAAGACATTTCGTTGTGTGATATATTATACTCAGCCTTATCGTATCCGAACAGTTGTGCTAAAATTGGTGACAGCTGGATAATATGTTCGTCGTTGATACAATGTGTGCACGACCGCTGCGCGTTAACATATCCACTCCTATTTATTATAAAATTTAAATGATTTTTCAATGGTGTTTCGTTTACTGTTTTGATAAGATCGTTAATTGAGAGGTACAAGCCTCGTGGTACAATGTAATGCTCCTCAAATCTGTTTTGCACTTCTTCTTCTTCTTCAAATGACCTCATCCATGTGTCTGTATTCGAATAGTTTTTTTTTCTTTATCCGCAGAACCCTCAAATGTAACAATAACATTTCTTGTAACTGTTATTTTTTCATCTTTTGGGAGGTGAAGAAATGTCATAGGGATTTGAATATCGGTTAAGGAGACACCCCACTCGCCGTGTAATCGTAGTTGTTGCGGTAATCGCGTTATAAAATGCGTTGTTGTGTTATCCGGAAAATATGATGCACTACTGTTACTAGGCAATACTACGTAAAAATTATCTCTCATCGTAGATTTTTTTTCTTTTCAAATCACTAGGATTTATCCACGTATTAAAACTTTCCGGAAAACCACGCCAGCTAACGAGGATGCGTTTCAAACGACCACGACCCCTACTTCGTATTATCCTCTCAATTGTAAGATCTGTCTTTGCATAATCTCGACGAATTCTAGTTAATTCTTCTTCGTAAAAAATCCCGTCGATATCTTCACCTTGAAGATCGCGTAAGAAGTAGACAGGAGGTTGCGGGTGTGTGGATACACGTATTATAAGAAATATTTCCTTACTCCATCCACCTTCATAACCTTTCACGAACGCTGCTTTGTTGCTACTGATTCGCACGAGGTCGCCAACTTTGTATTTAGGAACGCGGGTCCGTTTATAGGTGTATCGATGCGCGAGGTTTGCTCGAACAAGCCGTGCGTTATTCAACGTTACATCGCGAGGGGTCATTTTGATAGCGCTGTGGTATGAGCGGTTGTATGCATCAACGATATTTTGTAATACATCAATATATCGTTTATTTCTTGTGTAAGTAAAATATCTCCATATACGCTCCTTCAATGTTCTATTGAATCTCTCGACAATAGCTGCTTTCACATCCGGATTACGGGCTATTCGAAAACCAATTTTTGCGTTCTTCAAAAAAAGTTGTGTAGCTGCACCTACGAATTCTTTACCACGATCAGTCTGCAGAACAATAGGTCGTCTGCCACTACTGCGTGAAAGTATATGCGCTAAAGCTTTTGCAACGGAGGCACTCGTTTTATCCCGTAGTTTTTCAACCCATGCAAATTTACTCAAAACGTCAATAACGACTAGTAAATAAGCATAATTATCGTTATAATTTTTAATTGCTCGTAGGTCCACGATATCTGCCTCCCACAAATCATCAATATTATACAGATTGTAGGAACGTCGAGGGTATCGGCGACGTGAAGGTTTATGTAACGTATATGTGTCTTGACTTTCCAACCAGGCGATTGTTTTGTTCTTGGGAATCGTTTTATACGTTTTATGCAGTAATTTTGGTGCTCCGGAGAAAGACACGGGGTGAGATGGGTTGTAATATATCGCCTCTAGTTTCTTCATACTTTGGATCTATATCTTTTTCGACTATTTAAACTCTCCCATCTACTTCCGCTGGTGTGATCAGTATCGTCAGTGAAAAACTCGCTTGAATCCGATGTC